TCTGTGACAATTCACAGCCTCGGGGACCTTCTGGGGTCACCCCACCTTGTCCTGTGGGATTAGCTGGAATTTGATGACAGTTGTTGTTGTTACCATCGAGTTGACCCGACCCATAGCTGACCCTCAGGCGGGTTTTCAGAGGCAGTTGATCAAATGGGAGGAGACTGCACATCCTTCTGCGGAGCAGCTGGTGGGATTTGAACTTTATGGCAGTAGGTTCATTTTTTATCCAAGTGTTGAATGTCACCTCACTTCTGAGATTCCAACCACTTCATCATAAGGTTGAAACCAAAGGATCCGCTTTTGCTGACCTTCTGATCATGCCCAAACATGTCTCTGATGTTTCAGGAAATAGTAAATAATCTGATTGTTTACCCCTGAACATGGTTTCATGACCCACTCCAGGCGATAAAACAGGGAGTGCTGATAGTGAAGAATGATCTCAGGCCCTTGAAGCCCCGACTCCTCCCAACCAGGCACCTCAGCATGGAGAGACGCAGTGCTCCTTGTTCAGGGCGGACGCCAGCTGAGCCTCCGTCCACTTTCATCATAGCGCACATTTTAAATAAAGCCTCTGCTGCACACTCAGCTAGTGTCGCTTCTGGGCCTCAGAGTGAGTTTGGACCCTTTAATCACACCCCAGCCCACCTTTACAGGATTAGATAAGACAAGGGCTTGTGTTCATCTGCTGCCTCCCCTTTCCCCACTCCCCCCCCCGCCCAAAGCTTGTTTTCAGGACAGAACTACCCACGTCTCAGTGCAAAGCAGTAGATGACCTTGCTCACCAAGAACCAGGCATTGGAATTGGACATGGAGGCCCACTTGGCCAAGCAGTCACTTGTGGTAATGGGATCTCCCAGGTGAGAAACACCAGCCCTAGAATTCCGATTCTGCCTTAGTCATCAACACACTCTGCTTCCAGAAACCCGGAGTGATTGTCCCTTGAATCCCATCATTCCTGACACACCGGGACAGGTGTCTTTTAATGTCACCGTGCTGCAAGATGACTCCCGCCCTTCTTGAGCCTGGAGCTTGGTGGCTGGGCTGTCAGTGCCCTCTGTGTGCGTCAATGACTTTGGAACTTGAGGGTCATCCCAGATCATCTTCAAGTTCCTTGTGGCACAGAGGCCAGCACCTAGCAGAAGGCTGTGGGAAGCAGTGGTGGGCTGGGCACTGGGCAGCAGGTCTCCTGACCCTCAGGGAGACCTGGACCTTGACCAGACTCTTCGATCTGGAACTGTATTTTATAGAGTAGTGGACAATGTGTTTTGCCCTGAGGTTTTGGGAGTATTGTCTTATCTACTTTGCTTCATTGTATCCATTCACTGTATGTTGTTGTTACTGTGTATTGCAGAGTCTTAACTGACCCATAGCTCATGCTCCAGTGGGTTTTCAGAAGCAGTTAATCCAACAGGAGGAGACTGCCCATCCTACTTCCACAGAGCAGCTGGTGGATTTGAACCATGTGCCTTCCAGATTGCAACAGAGCTTCTTGCCTCTAGAGCTCCCTGCAAGTACTTACTCAGGACCTAGGACATGCCATGGAAGTGACCCATTTAGGGGTGTTGCTTAGAGAGCACATACTGTCCTTGGGCTGCTGGACTGCTAACGAGGTGGCTAAAAGCAGCAGGCATCGAGCTTCTCATGCTTCTGGGGGCTGTTGCTGTTGTTAGATGCCTTCAAGCCCAGGCACAACTGGACAAGACTCCCTGGTTCTGCTGCGTCCTCACAATCTCTGCAGCATTTAAATCTATTGTTGCGACCAGCGCGTCCACACTTCTTGTTAAAGGTCTTCCTCTGTTCCACTGATGCTCGGTCAAACATGAGGCCCTTCTCCAGGGACCAGCCCCTCCTGACAGCATACCCAAAGTCCCTGAGACAAAGTCTCGCCATCACTGCCTCCAAGGAGTGCTGTGTCTGCAGTTCTTCCCAGATGGATTGGTTTGTTCTTTTGGCCGTGTCTGGTATATTCAATATTCTTTGCCAACACCACAACTCAAAGCTACAAGTCCAACCCTGAGGTGTCGGCGTAGCTGTGCTCGCTCTGAAGGCTCTGGGCGGGGTAAGTTGCTCTGTTCCTCTTCTTGGTGTCTGGGGGCTCCGGCAGTCCTGGCATCCCTTGGTTTGTAGAGAAATCTTCCCAGTCTCTGCCATCACAACTCCATCTCCTCTGCATGTCTGTTGGTGTGTCTCTTCTCCTTCAGAGGACAGCCATCAGGCTGGGTGCGGGCCAGCCCATCCTAGTGGAGTGCGATGCACCTTAACCGGCTGCTGTTGTGAGCTGCTGTGTAGACTGCCCTGTCTCGTGCCGCCCTCACCGTCGCTGCCATGCCCCAGCCACGGTTTCATCTCTGTGTCAATCTCTCACTGAGGGTCTTCCTTCTTTCATTAACCCTCTGTCTTTCCCAGAATAGTGGGTTTCCCCCCAAGGACCTGTCCTTCCTCACATCACGCCCAAAGTGTGTGAGGTCAAGTGTCACCTTCCTTGCCTCCAAGGAGCCCATTGATTGTACTTCTTCCAAGATAGATGTGGTATTCCTTTCGGTGGTCCATTGATATTCAGTCATCTTCACAAAATCAGAGACACGCCTTGTGCTGTGGTCTTTTTTCATTGTCCAACTTTCACATACCTATGAAGCAACTGAAAATACTACAGCTTGGGTTAGACCCCTCTTGATCTGTAAACAGACAGGCTTGCTCTTTAGCACTTCAAAGAGGCTTCGACAGCAGCTATCTTAACTTGCAACATCTTCAAAGGCCCTATTTCTAAACCCAATTGCATTTACAGGGATCAGGGTTGGGGCTTCTTGGAAGACACAATTCAACCCCCAACAGAGAACATGCTTGGTCTAATGTCACTAAATCTGGCTGTTTTTACATTATCATCTCAGTTACTGGTTGATTGGTTAATACAGATTCCACGCCTTCCTCTGCCGTTCCCTGCCTGATTCAGGAACTGGCATGCGGAACCTTTTCTGTCTTTATTTGAGAATAGTTTTCCATGCAATTCTGAGAAATCTGTCAGGTATGGGTGTCGTGGCTGGAGGGGTAGGGAAGCTGGCTTGCTCTTCCTAGTGTTGGCTACAGGCGACAAGACACAGCAAGTTACTTTGTTGCTTTCAGGAAGGCTTTAACTCCCATCTGCATTCTCTTGGCAAAATTGTCCTGAACTTTAATGGGAGAAGTAGACTCAGTAGGATGTAATAATTGAGTGTCTGGAATGGGAAAGATCCAATATGAGAACTTTTATTGAATGCTTGCTGTGTGCTGGATGAGAGAGCTGGGATTGGCACCATTCACTCTTATGTATACTGCTATGGTTGAACAGGTGATTAGAATTTTGATGTGGACTGTCACATTGTGTCAAAGCCCTGGGAGTCACAAAAGGAAACTGTATCTTCAAGAGCCAAGCCTGAGACTTTAGATACCAAGGCATAGAAGACTCTTGCTATGGGATGATTTGTGGGAGAAAGACAGGCAATCTCCTTCAGTGACATTTACAGCCTGTGCAAACTCAGTGGAGGGAAAGCTACAAATCAGTTCTGATTTGACAGCAGGTAACAACCGCATGGACTGACTGATTATCGCTATGGGACGGTCAGTGCTCTCTGTATACCAGGTACTTGTTTATGTCCGTTTTACAGTTGAGGAGAGGAAACAAAGATTCTGTAATTTAAGAGCAGAGCCAGATGGGGGAGGGGAAAGGGAAAGGGAAGGGAGTAAAATGTGCAACAATGAATGAATGAAAAACTATCTTTTCTTTAAACTTTTGTTAAAATGACAATTAAAATGAAAAAAAAAAATTAAGAGCAGAGCCAGAATCACATGGATGGAAAGTGATGTAGCCAGATTAACATCCAGATGTGACTGACGCTAAAGGGAAGAGGCAGTCCCTTTGGCCGGAGCTAGGCAGCCTGCAGCTGTGGACCCTCAGGGCTCCATGTGTGGTTCCCTCACCCCACTTACTGAAGGCGGGGACTTCCTGCCTGCTGCATTCGGCCCACAGTCCCTGCTGTGCCCAACAGTCTCTGCTCCTTGTAAATTAGCAGTGCTTACTGAACCGAGCACCAAGGACAGAACTAACCCAGAGGCTCATCTCAGTGCACAGAGATCTAGACAGCTTTTAGTCGTTGAAGTTACATAGAAATAGGACCAAACTCCTGAGCAGTACAGACGATGGGCACAATAAAAAATTGGCGTCGAGGAAACGATTCCTGTGATTTTCTCTGAAAATCGAAACAAAATGTGCTCCGTAGTGTGAAGGAGTCATCGTGCACAAAGTCGCTCACTTCCTATGGATGATTCCTTCGGGAGCTTTTGCTGCCTTTTCAAAAGCAAGTCTGGAAGGAAAAAAAGAGAAGATGTTCGATTTCTTTAATTTGAGAAGTAAATCGCTCCACCTGTAATAATAACAACTTTAAGCGAACTGAACCAGCATGGTGCATCTGCAGGGCTGGCTCTGACACCAGGCATCTCTGCAGCGACAGGCGACAGACCACAGGAGGCAGGACGGCGGTAACCAGGGCAACGCCCGGGGGAGGGCGTGCCCGCGCGCGAATCACGGCGTCCGGCGCCTCCGAGCAAGCTTGGCCAGCGCGGCGCGCCGTAGGCCGCGGTGCACTCTGGGTGCTGGCAACATGGCGTCGCCCGTGCTGTGCTGATGAGTGGAGTGTGACTGCCGCGGCCGACGCGAGGGCGAGCCCCCAGGCCCGGGACGCCCCCCGCCCCCGTCCCTCCAGACGCGCCTCCGCACTCGTTCTCGGGCGGCCGAGGGCCAGCGCCAGCCGGGCGGCGCGGACCCGGGCGTGAGCACGATGGGCCGGCCCTGGCTGCGGCTGCAGCGGCTCCGGCGAGTGCGGGGCCCGCAGGGCTGAGCGCGGCCGCGGAGTCCCCTCGGCAGCCCCGCGCGGGGCAGCCCCGCTCGCCGCGTCCCCGCCCGGGACCCCAGGCTGGAGGTCCTCGAGCGCCTGCTGCCCAGGGCCTCGCCGCCCCCGCCCGCCATGGAGCCCGAGCTGCTGCAGGCGCCGCTGCTGGGCCTCGGGGAGGCGGACGAGGCCGACCTCAGCGACTGGAACCTGCCGCTGGCCTTCATGAAGAAGCGGCACAGCGAGAAGATCGAGGGCTCCAAGTCGCTGGCGCAGAGCTGGAGGATGAAGGACCGGGTAGGCACCCTTGACCTTGGGGGCGCCGCGGCGGGGCTGCGGGAGCCCGGGAGGCAGACGGCCCGCCCCTCGGGCGGCGGCGCTGGGGGAGGCGCGTGACCCCAAGCTCAAGTTCAAGTTCAAGTGCAGGTCGTGCACGTGGCGGAAGGCGCGCTCTCGGCCGCGCTGTGAGCTCGGTGCGCCGCATCGCAGGGGCCCAGTGTGCTGGGCACGAGGCGCCTGGGAAGGGGGCAGCCGGGCACAGGCTCCTGTAAAGCTACTGATTATTTTTAAATTGTGGCTTTGTCAAGAGTTTGCAGACAAGTAGGATATTTCACTCATTAACTTTGTTGCACATTTTCCTCCTCCCCTCCCCCCCCCGCCCCGAAACTTTAATTTAGAGTTGCAGGGAACGCCAGCTTTGTTTTCCTAAACAGTCTGCTCTTGAGTCTGCTTTCGTGTTGGTGTCTGATGGGGACAGACTTCCTCCCACGGTGGGCTGGGACTTGGGTCCACGCTTTGGGGAGTCCAGGGTGCTGGCGTGTGGCCCCAAGCAGATGGCAGGAGAAGAGGAGAAAGCGGGTTGATTGGAGGCAGCTTCCTGGCCATCGGAGCACGGGTGTGACCGGCTCACCTGCTGTTGCTGTGGTTTGGCCCTTGGTGATGGGTTTTGCCCTTCAAGGCTGCCTTTGTTGATTTGAGCCCCTCGCTGGTGTGGCAGGGGGTCTTAGTGCCATAATGAGAGTATTCACACTAAGCTTACGAATGCGCTCGCAGAAGATAACTGTTCTTTAGTATGTAATGTTGAACATGTGTTCAATTCTAGCTAGTCAGTCGTTAGGGATTGGTTTGACTACTTTTTTTAAAAGTTAGGAAAATGTGTTTTGCCCCAAAGTAGTTTAAAGAGTAAGTTAACTGGTCATTGAGGGAGATCGTGTAAAGCTTGTTTTGCGGACATCTTTAAGACATGTCGGGGGCTCGGCAGCCAAGCATTTGGCTACTCACTGAAAGGTCATTGGTTCAAACCCACCCACTTTGTGACAGAGGTTGACCTGCTCCGTTAGAGAAGGGCCTAGGAAACTCCAGGGGCGGGTCAGGTTTGCCCAGTGGGACAGCAGTGAGTCTGACCCATCCAGAACAGGGAGCAGTGACCACGTGGACATGTTCAGTAGTTATGTGTTCACGATCTGTGGTGGCTGTGTATCTATGAATGTTATTATAAAGCGAGGCTTTTCAGTTTTCTCGCCCATTCTAGCTGAAGGACAATATTGATTGCTTTTCAGATTTAATTCCCTTGTTACTAATGGTTCATAATTGATGATTGGATAGATGTAGACTTTTTAACTGAAATGTTAATTTGTGAACAGTAAGCAGTCCTTAACACGTTGCCTCACAGTTTTAAATTGACGACTGTGCTTAGAAACGTTTTTTTTTTCTCCCTTCAATGTATTACCATCATTTGTGGCAACGTGTTAAGAGAACTGTGAGTCCAAGTGAACAAGAGTACTGCTTAGAAGAGAGCGAGGGAAGGCACTTGACAGACCATAACCAGCTGGTTAAAGAGGAAGAAATGCAACAACTAGCACTTTGAGTTACGTGTCTAGGAATCTAACATCTTAGGAATCTAACATCTTAGCGTCCCTGAAGTCACTTTCCTCTGGTCAGGCCCAAGGGGACCACCGTCTGGGACAAAGATTGCAAACTCAGATGATGTGCGGAGTTGAAGGGAACACGGTGTGTGTGGAGCAGGCACTAGTTAACTCATGAGCACACACTCAGTGAGAAGGTCATGGTGTGAGGAGAGAGATGGCAGCTGGCTCCTGATTCAGTGTCTGCTGGAACTTTGGGAGGATGAGAATGGTGTGGGGGTTGCATATCATCAAGGCTCTGGCCCCATCCTCTCTGCATTTCCCTTGCCTTCTTGCCTCTCCCACCAAATTCTCTCCCCCTCCCCCCAGTGTGAAATCTTTCCATTTTTAAACATTAGAATGAAATCAGATCAAACAAACCCCACCTATAGGGCCAGTTTTAGCCAGGAAGTGACCCAAATGTGACTTCTGCTTCATGGCACTTTCTGGCAGGCATTTAAGGAATCTCGGGAATGCAGACCTTGGGTCCAGGATTGCACCTTGCCTGAGGTGGCCTGCTCTGGAGGGGGTGTGGACAGGCCTCTCACAGTGCCCTCACCAGAGGTGGCCTGCTCAGGAGGGGACCTTCTCAGGAGGGGATGTGGACAGGTCTCTCATAGTGCCCTCACTGGAGGTGTCCTGCTCTGGAGGGGGTGTGGACAGGCCTCTCACAGTGCCCTCACTGGAAGCCATGTAGAGCAGTCACCAGTGGACCGTTGGCTGCCTGTTCCAGTGACGTCTCTGTGTTCGTGCCTTTTTTTGGGTAGACATGAACTTCCTACAGGTGTCCTGTTTAGTGGCGCTGTTGGCAGTTCCTGACATTGACATCTTCCAAGCTCCAGGGAGTGCTCCATGACGTTTACCTGCTCTTGCTTTCCGCACCCCTCCCAAGACAGCGCTTGGCACAGGCCCTTTTCCACAGGAATTCTACAGCAGTTAGCCTCCTTTCCAAGCACATAGTTGTTGCAGTTTGGTTCTTCAGTTCCTGCTACTGGTTTAGTACCACTGTGGTAAGAGCCTGTGCTGCAGTCCCAGAGGTACTTGTTTCAAATCCACCAGCTACTTCACAGCAGGCTGGAACAGTCTCCTCCCATGCAGTTTACTGCTCTGAAAACCTGCTGGAGGTCAGCTCTGGGTTGTTTCTGGAACACAATAGTAAGAACCACAACTTCATTTTGAACTTGTTGCTTGGTTGGTTCTATAGTGTCAAATAGGAATGGGTTTGGCTTGTAATTGTCCAATATCTAGATGTAGTGTGCAAAGTGAATTGCAGTTCTGACCAAGATTCATACGTGAGTGGCCAAATCAGACGTATGTTCCTATTCTTTCTGTCGTCCTGCACCACTTGACAGTGACCACAGTTGGTTTTACTACCCTCTGGAATGGAGTAGGGGCAAGGTGGTGATAGGCAGCCCTGGTGGCACTGTTGTGTGGCAGTGGAGTCCCTGGAGCTGGGGGTGGGTGGACGGTGGTGTAAGTCCTCCTGGGTAGGTGGGCCACACCTCTCCCATCTGAGTTGAACTATGAAGCAGCATAGAGTGTGCCTCGAGATACATTGCATCGTTTTGTAGTGGTGTAAAAAATTAGACCCAGAGGAAGCAGATTGGCTGCCTGGAATAACTCCTGGACACTGAGGTGCAGAGGCTGTCTCGCGAGGAGGAATGGGAATATTTTATCTCACATTCCTCAGTCTACTCCAGACTGCTGACTTAGTCATCACTGTTACTGTTAACTCATGGTGACCCTGGAACAGCGCACAGGGTCCCAGAGGGTCCTAGGGTGTAATCTTTACAGAAATGGATTGCCAGCTCACTCTTCTGAGGAGCTTCTATGTGACCTTGATCTCCTCACCTTTTAGTCATTATCCAAGTGCTTCATCGTTGTACTACAAAGCCCCCTTAGCTTAACAATACTGTTGGTTTGAGTCCTAGCAAGCTCACAGCACAGAGTATAACTGCCCTCTTGGGTTTTCTAGGTTCTGATGGCTAAGCAGAAGTTGGCGATTCAAACTTGTTAGCCAGCCTCTGGGAGAAAGATGTGCTTCTGTAATTATGTACAGCCTTGGAAACTTGTAGGCTCACTGGGTCAGGTTTGGCCCTGAGCAAGGGGTTTACTATGACTGAATCACCAGGCCTCTGTCTTGCAGGCCTGTGGGTGGCTTTGAACCCTCATCTTTTGGTTAGCAGTCAAAAGCTTAACCTGTGTTGCAAGGACACCTTGTGAAGTAGGAAGGTCGTGCTCAGGCCCCTGACCTCAGCAACACTCCACGCGGTTGTTCACTGCGCCACTGGGAAGCTCTTTACTCACTGTGTGTCTTTGTGAAGCCCCAAGCTTCCTCTTTGGTCCCTGACCGCTCCCTCTCAGACTCTCTGCCGTGTACCACCTAAATGTTGGTGTGTTGGAAACTCCTTCCTGGTCCCCCCATTTTTCTCCCTTGGCTCCCTAGATGGTCTCATGAAGGGACAAGACTCAAGTATTGAAACAAAAGATATTGTGCCAGATGTGGTGAATGGCTGCAGTTCTGACCTGCCTGGCCAGGATCCCTGTCTCCGAAGCTCTTACACACCAGCTTTCACTTCTCCACCACAGAGTGTGTCACCACCATCCACTCACTCATTTAAGCCATCACTCTAGAAAACACTCAGCCCTGCCCGCAAGCAGGTTCTGACCCAGAGCCGCCCTCTGTCAGCAGAGTGCTCCGTGAGCAAGGTCTGTGAGCATGGGGAGCACGGCCTGTGCTTTGGGAGCGCGATTCATGAGTGGAGAGCATGGCCTATGAGCATTGGGAGCACCGTCCATGAGCACAGAGAGCATAGTCCATGAGTGGGCAGCATGGCTCATGAGCGCAGTCTGCCAGCATAGGGTACATGGTCGGGGAGATCACAGTCCACGAGTGGGGAGCACAGTCCGTCAGCATGGGGAGCATGGTCTTCCGGCATAGGAGCGCTGTTGGGAAGGAGGCCCGTCAGTGCAGGGAGCACACAGCTTTGCTCGCTGGCTCACCTGTGGTGAGCTGCGTCACATTCCCGGCCACACACTTGGACCAAAGCCCACATGACACTTCACCAGGCGAGTAGGAAGCAGAGGTGAGCTCTGCTTACCTAGCTCCTCAGCCCTGTCAGGGATTGTTGGTCTGAGATGAGGCCCTGGATCTGTAGGGAGGTGCTGTCAGGCTGGGGGACCTAGGAGCAGCCTGTGCAGTGGGGAGGGTGTGTGAAACCATTCACTCCAGATGAGTCAGCGAGCGGTCAGCCATGCTCGCCTGCCTCCTGCCCTCACACACCTGCCTGTGCTTGTCATCTGCCCCTCGGTCACTTCACGGTCACCTCATGGTCACCTGGTCTGCAGCAGCTTCTGAGTCACTTTTTGGGGAGCATTTTACTGCTGTGGTTT